AATTTTTCATTTTGTAAATTCTCGTAATAGATACATTTATATAATTAGAGGATGATACAATAAAATCGCTATTTTCAGTTATTTGATTTGATTTTATTCTGATACTCATATATTTGCATTCTTGGCAGTATTGTTTTCCAAAAATTTGAGTAATTGGGTTTAAAAATTAAAATTCCACTAGTGATTATTTCATAATTTAAATAAGTGCACATTTTAAAGAAAAGTGAATACTGCAATTATTGATGTATCTTTTCATTTGAGCAATTCTATTGTTTTCTACACTTCTATTGCTAAATTTCTACGCAAATTGTTTCACAATTTTCCACTTTATTATTTTATTGTCGATCGTCCCCCATTCATTTCATCAATTTATAATTATTTATTTAATGTGACAAATTAGCAAATTTCAATCTTAAAGCTTTATCAGAATTTACTGAACAAATGAACCTCAAATGCTGGAGAATTTTTTTAAAAAAAGATGATTTGTTTGTTCATATTAAAATTTGAACCATCATTATTCACTCTTTTCTCTTCTTCCCTCATTTTTTTCCCTCATCCGAGAAATTTAATCATTGAGAAAATGCAAAATATTGTATATCATCTTTATCTGTCAATAAAATATTTTCTTTTTTGTAAATTAAAGCAATGGAAAAGTAATAACAGTAAGATTTAATTTAATCCTTTTTAAATTAATATATCGTTTATTTACAAATCAATCACTTTTTCAATTTTTTTTTTCTTTTCATTCATTTCATTTGATGACACTTTATTTTCGTGTCATATTTCTGTTGATAATAGTTGACAGATAAAGATGATATACAATAGGAAATTTGTTCTTTTCTACCGTTTTATTATTTCTTTAGAAACTGGTTCCTTTTAACAAAATTTTTTTTTTGCTCAAAAATTTTCGATGACTCAATCAATGGCTTTCTAAAAAATGTCCATCTACTATGTATTGATATACTTATTACGTACAACATATTGTACTGCATTTTATCAATTATTAATAATTAAAAAAAAAACCACATCAGTATGAATTTCATATTGATATCAATGCGTAGTGAAAAAGATGATCTTAATTAAATTATTTTATGTTTTTTTATCAGTCAATTGTTAATTGACTTTGATTAACATTCTGTTAAGTGTGTACCAAAAATAAATGTTAACCGGATGCAAGTAATAAGTTTAGTACCTCAGAAAAAAGACATTAACGTGAAAATTATTCTACAACTCTCTTCCATTTGTCAATATTTATTTGAAATTAAATGAGTTAAATCATAATTGGACTATTAATTAAAACATTTCAAATTATAACATTTTAAAATTACAATATTTGAGGTAGAACATTTAGTCATTGATTATTTTTTAATGCTAGCTTGATAACTTGAATTTCACCCTTTAATTTGTTAAAATGTATTTCATTTCATTCTTCCAGGAAGGATTTGACTTTTTTAACACAAATTTTTCTTACGATCCCTCTGAATCATGAATGCCTTCACGAAAAAATAAAAAAATTCTGTCAAACAGACTGCGAAGAGACAACACGAACAGCTCAAATATTGTGACATTCCATTTGTTGTAGCAAATTAATTCGTCATTTTTGGAATTTCTTTATTTTTTTATTTCGATGACTCAGACAAATTAATTCGTTTGATACTAAATACATGAATGAACAATGGAAACCAATGACGAGATTTTAGAAAAATATACGCTACATTCACAGTAAAATAGAAATCAAATAAATTAATGCAAAAAAAATGATACCGGTAAATCGAAACCTGATTGAATTTTGTTGAATGAATCAGTGAAGAATTCTTGAAATTCATCTGAATGAAGCAAAAAAAAAGAACAACAAATAATCAATTTTTATTGTGGTTGTTATTTGAACAACAAAAATTTCTTCAGTTTGAATTGAAAAAAAAAATGGATTCAAAAAGTTATGATGAAGAAATATGAAGTTAGAATAAAAAGCATACCAGCTACAAAAACAGGATATTGTAATTTCTTGTAGTGCCAAATATGAGTAAAGCAATGAACTATTTTTTCCTCCATTGTATTTTTTCAAAACAATTTTGATTGCTTTATTGCTATATTATCAGTGAAACTTAAAAGCCATTGAATGAAAAAAAGTTTTCACGAAATTTTAGAATGAATAAATAAATTCTCTGTAATAAGCTTCGTTATTTTTGCGATACATCTAATGCTGACTGAGAATAATTGTAGAGAATGAAAGGAAAGGATATAAAAATGAATGCAATGATTAATGTTAGTTGAACAACGAGAAAAAGTTGAATAACGATTTAAAAAAAATCATCGTAACCATTAGTATTACAGTTCCTTCAAGTATAATTAATTAATCACACGAAAAAATTTCAAATAATCAATAAGCTTTTTTTTCTCATTTTCAGACTTTTAATCACGCATAATCAATCATTACTTATTCATCATTCAAATATCTCTAATGTTTAGTAAATAATTCACCTGACATATATTCCATGTAGGAAAATTTCTCTCCAATAAATTTTAGTTGAAACAATAGAATTTCAATACATTAAAAACAATAATAAAAACAACAATACCAACAGAATATAACAAATATAATATAATAACTATTTAAATTTTCATATCAATAAAGCACTAAACAATAGAGAGATTGTGAAAAAAAAGAATTCGTCTATAAATACAATCAATATATCATTTAGGGCTAAAATGATGATCTAAAGCAATGCTAAATTAATTCTGACCTCAAAACAACAACACTTATCATTTTTCCAATTCAATATATTCTTCATTTAATGCTCTCTTTCTCACACTGAAAAAAATTTTTTCATTATTTAAATTTTAGTATTAAAACAGTTTTGAGTGATACGCCTTATACATTTTGACGTTTATTTCTACAATGTATGCCTATAATTTGTAAAAGCAAAATGAGATCATTAATTTTGGTATTGGAGGGAAAAAAGAAGGAAAAAGAAGATTATCTTTTATTTAATCAATGACAGGCGTTTACATCCAAACTTCAGAAAAAAAGATGTTCAAAAATCAACCACTTGTTTATTAACTTGAATAAAAAATTGAATATTTTTAAAAATAGAAATAAAATAAAAGAATGTAAAATGAAGAGAGAATGAAGAATAACATTTCGAAGCAGGGTGGAGTGAAAAAGAAGAAACATTAAAGAGTAAGATAAAATGAAACAAGATATTTTTTAATTCGAAAAAAATTAACTACAATGAAACGGATAACAACAGCATGCAAAAAAATATTTGATGGAGAAACTGCAGAAATTTAGGAAATATGTAAGCTGTTATAATTATTAACCATAAATAACTGAATTAATCTTTTTAAAATAAAAGACGAAATTTTGAGTAACAAATAAAAGTGGTAAAACTTTTTAATATTTACGCAAAACAAGTCAAATAATTTTCTTACTCGAGACACGAAAATAGAATCATTTATCGTTTTGTCAAAAACTACGCCATCATGTGATAATCTATGTTTTCTGCAGTTTCGATTGTTTCTTCTGAACGTGCCGAGCAAATGTCTTCGCGACCAGCAGAGGAAAAATAAGTGTCGCATCAGCATATATTTTCACTGGCCTACACTCACTTTTAATCTTACCCCAACTTACAGCTTCATCCGGACGAGCACCCGAATCACTGCCATCAAATTCCTAAATAAAAATTTGACCTTTAAATCTGAAAATGAAAACTCGAGCAAAAATGCATTAAATAAAAATATAAACCTGAAAATTGCTTTATTAATCGTTACAATAAGGTATGAGGGAATTTTCAGTAAATTTTCTCAAAATTTAGTTGAAAATTACAGAATAAAATATAAAATTTAAAAGACCTGGCCTGTATTCACATATACAGCATAATCAGATCCGTTTCGCATAAGATTAGCATTATTAATATGATGTTTCATTACGCCACCACCAAGAAGTATTACGCCAGTACGGTTTGATCGTACTGCCATCGTATTGATATGACGCAAATCCTGACGAGAGAAAGAAAATTTAAAATTTTAGTTGGAATGGATTTAATAATATATATCCTATATCTATTATTTATTATCTCTACTTTTAAAATACAATGGAATGATACTTAAAAGCTGGGTGCGCAAGCGATAAGCAAATATAGCGTGAATGGTTTAATTAATATCAGAATTTTTTTAAATAAAACAATAAAATTTAGTTTGTTAGTGTTACTACAACTTCAGAATTTTCGATTTATGCTCACTACATTACTTAATTCGTCCTCATGCACTTTTCTTCCCCCTTAAATCCTACTTTTCTATATCACACCATGTATGCATAATAAGTACTCCAAATCCATTTATTTGTTTTTTATAGTCCGACCATACCCTTTAATTGTGAAAATATAATACAGCAATAATATTACTAAATAGGTATCGTTGCAGGAATAAAATTAAATGAGAAAATTAAATGAGAACTGATCATACAGCTAGCAAACATCCAATCATATTATAGCTATAAAAAGATGAATAAATAGGGAACAAGAAAGAAGAAGCAGCTATATGATGACCTGGAAAATTATGCTCTTCTGGAAATTTCTTTAAATTTCAGAAATCATATAAGTCAAACGGAAAGGGAACGGGAAAAAAAAACTTTAACGGTTGAACAAACCTCTACAATATCCAGCTTAATTCCACCGTTTCTGAATGAATGAAAATACAGCATATCACCAATTGAACCATCAGTTAATGCAGGACTGAAAATAGGAATCCGATTTCGGTGAGCCCAGTAGCAGATTGATCGTTTGTCGTTGATTTCAGCACCTAGTCTATCAATAAGTTTCGATGGAGTCCATGAGAACTTACTATTTTTTTGTTCCAATTCACATTTGTCTAGGATAGGGATTAGCCATTCCTCAAAATGACAGTAGTTCTCATTCGGTATGATAATATTACCAGCTCTAAAATCATCATGAATATTTATATTAGAAAAAACTGTTTTGCAGAAGAACTGCATGTTGCATAAGAACAAATTTAACCTCTAACTGTTCTTCTTAAAAAGCAATCACTCCTCAAAAAATAATTCATGAAGTATTTCTTTTCAAAATCTGACTAGTTGCTTCTATTTAACAGATTATTCTTAAAAGTACTTTTTATATATATATTTGCTTCGGTAAGTAAATTCACACTAAAAAATAAATAAAAAAGGTTAATGGTCAAAAAAATTCATGGAATGAATATAATCAAAAAAATAATAATCGAAAATTAATCGATTATCGGTAAGAAATAGAAAGTCAGAAAAAACCTAATAAAAAACTTAGAATTGTCATATACTTATTCAAAGTGAATTCAAAAAAATCTAGATAACCTGTTCAATCCATTATGACGTAAAGCCTTCCCATCAAGATCAAATGCACCCAAATATGAAGGTTCCAAACATTTAATCAAGTCTTCCTCGACACCACCAGCACTTGTTACAATGCAATCCACCAAATCATGTTCAACTATGTATCGGATACTCTTAAAAACAAGGAAATCTAAAACAAGACAGCATATGCTGTTGAAAATATATTCTTGTACAACTAAAGGAAATTATGTTTCATGTGTCAAGCTTAACATCAAAAAACTGAAAGTGTTGAAAAAAACACAGAAGATAAGTTTATTCATCATCTACAAAAGGTTCCAGAATCAAGCATACAAGATTCTAAAAAAGAGCACTTTTAAACTATTCAGTTTATTCGAGAACTCCATCCGACTTTTTCAAAGACAAACTTCATGTTGCACTGTTGACAAATCATTGTAGAAAACAAACGCATCAAACATACCTCTCGAATACCAGAAGTGATTAGATTACTTGTATAACCGAGGAATATTGTGCATGCCCTTTTTTGTTTTCCTTCCGGATACGGCAGTGTAAGATCGCCTTCAAACTGTTCTTCCCGCACTGTTAACATCGCATTTATTTGCTAAAAAGTCAATTTTATTGCAATTTTTTAAACTAATTAGGAGGAAAAAATTTTTTTTAGAAAATAAATGGGATTCGCAGTATTATACATAAATTGATATATCTATGAAATGTTTACGAATTATGACAGAGATGTTATGGAGCAATGTAGCAAGAAATAATAAAATGTATAAGTTAAACAAGTCATGGCGCAAAATACATTACTAATGGACACCATTTCTCCTTCCTTATCGTGAATACTTCATACTAACCTGTACAGCCTCAGCAAAATGTGATGCCTGGAAACCAGTAGACATGTAGCAGTCCAGTAAAGTGTCATAATCAATTCCATCATTAAAATCATAGCCTTTAATTACAGTGGAATTCGCTGGCATCGGAGATGACTTCTTCAGAACAGACATTTCAGCTATATGGAAGTCAGATTCACATCTGTTGTCATCCATGCTGTGAGTATTGTCTGAAAGTGAATAATGCTTGAAATTGAAAGATTTCAATTGTTACTAAGTCCATCGTATCAGATAAGTTCCTCAGCTAGAGCTGATCAAAACTGTAACATAAAGTGTGATACAGTGAATTGGAAAGACTTATTCATTAAGTGTAGCCATGTTCTCTTCACTTTTTTATCACTATTTAATATCTATTTTTCTCTTCTTCCTCTTTTTATTCCTCCAAAAATAGCTATGTCTATGGTGCTTTTTAAAACACAAACGAGAAAATTAATTAAAAAACTGATAGTGACACTTATTTTATTTAGCCAAAACAAATCACACAGCACTATAATAAATACACGTTTTGGCATGCTTAAAATGAGAACTTTATTTTATTTGGGAAATTCAACAACACTAAGGAAAATACAACATCTGAATCATCACTATCATTAAATCACAATTATTGATTATGAGCACATTTAGCAGCTTCTTCAGCTAATTCATCCTCGTTCTCAGTCAAGTACAGAATGTCTGCTAATGTCTGTTCAATATACATCTCTCCAACTCTTTCACACATTCCACGAGCTCCAGATGGCACTGAATAGCGAAATGAAGGACCGAAATTACATCGAACTGTAGCACCTTGAAATAATGATACTGCAGGATAATAGAAACCAGCATAAATATCCGTGAAAGCAATTCCACAACTCTTGCCATTCCGGTAGAATTCAATCTGTAAAACTGTTCTTTAAAAAGTTCGAAAGTAAATTACCTCCAATTTCAGCTTCATGAAACTAAAATTTTAAAATAATAGGATTCTATACTACAACGAATTAAAAAATTTGAACTCTTTCAATTTCTCAGCAAATGCAATATCTTGTGAAAAGAATTAATAGTCTTACTTAAAGAATGCTATTTTTCTATTATTCAACCGTAACTGTGGTATCGAAATTTTTATTTTATTGCCAGAACGTATTAAAATGCGAAATAAAGCTATTTTTTTAATTACAGAGTTTTCAATTAAACGATAATCAGAGCAGTCAATGGATTATAATCAGACATTCTTAATTTATTGTTATATTAGATTAAATTAATAAAATTACTAACCCAACTTCCAGGCGCTGTTTTTAAATTTTTTAGTGCTGCAGTTATGTCATCCTTCTCTTCATAAAAGTAATTATGTTTGAAATTGATCAAAGGCAAATTTTTGTACGAAGGCGGCAAATAAGTTGATGAAGATGGTAGATTTTTTGCAGAAGTAAAATCATATTCTTTATCCGCCGGACAAGGAGGTAATGATATCAAACATCCTAAGACGTCGCCTTCTTTAAAACCACCATCCGCATAGTGTTTGCCCTAAAATTTAGTGTGAATTGAAAAGTAAAAAATCCTTGTGATTCAAGGCTTGAAGTTCGAATCACTTACTTTTGCCTGATGAAATACTGTGCCTTTATGACTTCTCCAAGAATAAGACAATTGTGTATAGCCAACACATGCTTGTATAGGTGCTGAAAGTATTATAAATCATTAAAGCGCTTTATTTTCAATGAATTCAGGCTATTTTGAAAATTTATAAACCAAGACTTGGCTTACCCACAGCTTGGCTCCAACCGATCCTTATATGTGAACCTGGTGGCTGCGCTGTGAAGACCACTTCAAAATACCAAGTACCATGGGATACCGAGTGAGTAGCTCGAGCGACACTGTAACCTTCAAAACCGCTCACGGATAGTCGATCTTCCGATAATTTCAACTAAAAAACCAATCTATAATTCATTAGAATCGAGTAAAAAACAATAAGAAAATATAAAAAAAATCAGGAAATAAAAAATAATGAAAAAAGACAAAAACAATTTTAAAAATTCGAAAAAATGAAAAAAATTAAAAATAAAAAACAATAAAAAACAATAAAAACAAGGAAATTACGAATAAACAAAAAATTAAATAAATTGCTATATAAGCAGCAGACTGCAATCGCGTTCATTAATTAAATCGCTTATGTATAATTTTCGAATACTTACTTTAAAGAAAAAAGCTCAGTAACAGTTTGAAAAGTTTTTTAATGAAATGCAAAGTCAAGCTAAGCATATTAAATTCTAATGTTTCCCCTCCATAAAATGATTGGTACCTGATAAGCACGATCATTTGGAGATAAGGTAACTACTGGATGAACAACGACACGATAAATGTGTGCTGGGATTGGCTTGCTATATGTGCTTTCATCCAATTCGAAGATGTCTCTGGAAGGTATACAATTTTAAAGTCGGGTGTAACGATTTTTGAATTTTTGTTTGCATTCAATTTTCCAAATTAAAGACAATATTATTTTAAACAGGAAAATATAACCACTAGTTCCAAAGTTTCATATATTTCCAAAACGCTCCTCTTACAGCAGAAAAAAGTCCTCGACAGTAATACTAAAAAAATCTTAATAATGTTTATGGGAACAGTATTATTTTTGGGAATTTATAGAAACAAAGCACATGTACTGAACTGTACAGAAAGCAATATTTCATGATTTAAATCGATACATACTTTCAAACCTAATAATAAAAAATATCAAAATAAAAAAGTATAAACTAAAAATTATTAATAAAGGCCCAAAATCACCTGTTGGGAACGGTAAGATCTTTTTCGACAAGATAATATCGATAGCCTTCGCGATTAAATGGGAAATCGATGGGTGCGGAAATTCCAATAATTCGTGTTGATGCGTAATCAGCAGTTCTGAAATATACGATGGATAACTAAAAACATGCGATAAATTCCGCGCTTTCTTCCTTTTTCTGCAAAGAACTTTCTGGTTTTGCTCTGGAATAAAGTAAAAGTAAATAAGAGTTTTTCAACAGCTGAAAACAACAAAGACCACGTGATCGACATATATGAATCCTATTAGGGAAATTCAGGGAAATTTTTAGAATGTAAACCATCTTTAAGAGCAATCGTGTGGAAACCTGAATCTAAGAAAACATACAGTTTCGCTTTTTTGAAGGCATTTGGAGGATCAACATTACGTCGTTTGGATGAACCTCTCGTCTTGGGACCATCACCTAAATCATCAGACCTTTCGAAATTCTCTCTGGACAAGTCACGTGTTGAACTTGAAACCACTGGTTTACTTCGACCGATCTAAACTTTTCTTTTTCTTTTTGAGAAAAGTCAGAAATTCTATAAACTAGAATAAGCATCCATCTACAGCAATGACAAACAACATTAATTCAGCTTTGCTACATTATCAAATAATTAATAAATGATACCTGCTTCAATGATTCATGACCCGGACCTATGGATGATAAATCACGTTCACGTAACGCAAATATTTGTCCGTCATCGCTTGCTTCAAATAATTCTGTTTCTTTGGTTAAGGACTTTTGCAAAGTTTGATGCCAAGTATTTTTGACCCTTTAATGAGCTTCCCTCAATGAAGCAAAATATAAGTATAAAGAAAGTTGAAATAAAATTTTTTAAAAATTATATACTTTTCAAATATTCATTCCTCTCACATTAATTCTCCACTCTACATCCTAAGCACTATGGTAGATTAAAAAAATGCTTGCGGGTGAAAAAAAACTCAATTCCTTGCAACATATGCAGTGCTATACTGAATAAAATATGAGACTTTAGAGATTTCCTTAACAGATCATACTGTTACAGTTGCAAGTTCAATGAGTTCAATTCAGATACTTTCTAAGATAAACTAACCTTCGACTCATAGATGTAAGATTTTCCCACTGTGCATTGAAATAAGGTATAATTTCATTTTCCAAGTTTAAAAATATCAATTCCTGATCGTTATCTCCCGATTCATTTCCCGCATTAGCTCTTTTGGTGCGTGCGTTGTGTGTCAGATTTGCAAGAACAGTAACACACATATGAGCAAAATCTGAGAAAACGGATTACAAGCAATCTCAAATTAAATCATTTTTTGGATCGCTATAAATTGTAGAAGATCCTATAAAATAAAGTGCCAAAATAATCTAATAACCCAGAATTAAATTAGAAGTATTTAATTCTAAAATATGAATAATCCTTACTTGCTTGTTTCGGTGTCCATGTTTCTCTCTTTGTTGGACTACAGTCGGCACAATTGAATACGTAGCATACCATGAATGGTAGTCCGTAGCTATAAGATAGAAAAATAATTTGGTTATGACAGTTTAATATGATATTAAAATATTTCGAAAGCAAAACTTACAAGTCAGTTAAATCTTTCAGACATCGTCCATGGAACCATTTTCGGCAAACAGCACAATATAGCTCTAATGTTCCCACTTCACGCTTACCATCACTAAAAAATTCGTTTGTAGTGAATTAAAAAAAGTTAAAAATATTCTTTTTTTATTAATCAATGTTACTTCTTTTATATGAAATTTCAAATATATTCACAATTTCTCTCAGAAAGCAATCAAATTTTTGGGTGCAAACAGTTCGTTCTAATATTCCTTTTTTTCTTATTTTAGTAAAATAACATAAAATTGCTTACTTACCTATTTGGCGGAAAGTAGCAAATTAAAATAGAAACCAAAGTTGAAAACAGATGAATATTTGATCTTTCACAATAACAAAGTAAAAGCTCAAAATTGAATGAACTAAACCGTAACAACACTTCAAAATATAGTGTTTCATTAAAAGCTTACCAGTAACAAACAGTAGATGGAGCTGGTTTTGGTGCTCCCTTACGGGCACTTCTTTGCCTCATCTCTTAAGAGTAAAGATTTGATTTGATTGCAACACAAAACAAAAATTTTTAACAAAAATGCTCTGAAAACTTCATTTCATCTTCCTACCTCAAGCATTATTCGTTATTGTCGTTCCGATGAGTAAAATTTTATACAATTATATTAACTTATTAACTATGATTTACAAATTTATTCTCGGGAAAAAGAAGACAATAATCAAAAAAATAGATCAGAGCAGAATTCCGGATATAATGCAAAAGGATGTTAAATTAAAAACCCAAAGTATAACTATCCTACGTCTAATCAAATATATAGCGAACTACATTACATACGTTCATCACTGGCACCATAACAGTAAATGTTAATAGTTTGGAAGCAATAACAAAATTTCATTAGCGAATTTTTTGTTCAAGGTAGACTGTTCAGTTATTTCGTTTAAAATCAAATATCGAAATTAACAGTGTAGCATGATCATTAGTTAATGCTAGAGGATTAAACAAATACAATACCAGGAGGTCAAAACAGTTTATTTCAAACAGTATTTATAACATTTTAAGTATGGTATCATCAAATAAATATTTTGAATGAGAACTTTACGAGCATCATACAATGAATTTGTAGAAATAGTTACTCTTTACTGAGAGGTATCGTTCGGTGAAATTTAATATACTCAAAAATTTTGTACCTTATCTCATATAGGCCATCACTGAAGTATAAATATTGTAAAACAAGACAAACAGATATCTTTATGATATTTACCTGATAGAAATTTGTTTCATGACGAATTTTGTACTCCTGATTAAACTCACCGGAAAACATCAATTGTTCCTTCTGTTTTGTTATCACAAATATTAGATATCAAATGTATACAAAATCCAACAATTTTATAGGGTTGGAACAATTGTATCAATATGCTCAACGTTTTAACAATGATACAATAACATAACGAAATGCTTTTTAAAGCAAGAAGGAGACAATCTGCAACGAACGGCTAAAATATGATTCAATAAAACTACTCATTTAGAACAGTCAGTACAGCCCCATTTCCGAGACCTCAAAATTAACTAATGATTCAGCGTTATAACTGGAATTATGTAGCATTGCAAATAATTGTACACTTTTTGAGATAAATCTAATAAATTTCCGTTGTATTCAATGTTGTAAATCAACAAACACCACGTATCAGTAAAGAAATCCTTGAAGCAAGGAAATGAAATCATTAGTACAAAAATCCTTTTATATGACCAAATCAATCACATGTTTTCTTTAATTTTGATTTAAAAGATTGCACACTGCAGCTTGGAAACTGATAAACTTTCTATATAAGCTATAAACGATTTTCGGCACGAAAGAAATTAGTGGAAACAGTGAAGCATCTTAAGAATCTCTTTTGTTAATATCCACATCACGTTCGAACTGCATTTGTCTCTAATGCTTTACTAAATCCTTCTTCCATAAACTCTTCCAGATTGCTTGCACACTGAAACATACAAACATATTTTAGAATTCCGCGAGAATTTGTTCCCCAGTGAATCATATAAAATATGTTTTGTATTCTGTAATCATTCCTCTGACTGACTGGACAACTTATAGTCAGTTCAATTGAATACTTTCTCGACTAAATATGAATCCCTTCCCGGTCATGGCATTAACAAGAGAACAGGATCTATTTTGGATCACAATCAATTTTTTCTTCCTAAATAAAAAATTTTTCAAAATATCGTAATCCCCAACAATTGCAAGTTAAATTATACAGTAAATACTGGCGTAACTTTCAAAAGCATTAGTATGGAATCATTCAGCTCAAAAATGCAAATACAAATACTGTTTCAATAAAATGCAAATACTATTTCCGCTTAAACCAGAAAGTGAAAAATGCATTTAGTACAATACACATTACCAAAAAAGAGCTAAAATATCCACATACCCTACAAATTTCCGATTCTTCCTCGTTATAAATACGACAATTCTCAAAAATCAATCGTGCATCCGCTATTACTTGCTCGGGCGTATCGTATAGTCGTTGCTTTAGTTTATTCATTATTGTACTTAAATCCATTGGCCTCTTGATAATCTAAAATATAATGAAAAAATTTCATCGAAAAATTCAGTTTTTAATAATAGGCCGATTGTAGAATGAAATTAAAGCAAACAGTTAAATCAGACTGTAAAGCTCTTTCAGGAAAGGAAAATTAACTTTATAAAACATATTGTTGTAATATCAAATGAAGCTTTTGAGAAAATTAAAATTTTCTGGTTTGATTTTGATATACGTGGATGAACAAAAAGAAGTGAATACTAAAGAATTACCTGGTAGTAGTCGGGCACAGCCTTGGCATCTACTGGTTTTAAAAAAGGCCACGCAGTTTGCTGTCGCATTGCTTCACTTATTAATAATTCAAAAGTACGCAATGTATTTCGTATTCTACTATCTGACTCACGCAAACTCATCGTTGCGTTCCCCAGGGCCCGTTCGCCACTTCTATCTAGAAATGTGGTGTATTAAAAATTTCAATCTTTTAATTCAAAATAATAGTTCCACAAAAATTCAGAAAATCATATTTCCTAACTAACTTACTGGACCGTTTTCGTTTTGTATATGAATATTCACTTTCACTAGTGCTACCGCCCTCATCACTTTCACCATCGGCAAGATTTTTCCTCCGCACATTCCTCCTTATTTCTTCGAATGATTCATCCGCATAAGCTACCTAAAGAATTTTACATCACTTAGAAAAATATATTACATAAATAATGCTCATGAAATGTACAACGTAGTTACTATTTACCTTCTTTACAATACGTCCACTTGAAGTTTTCAGCATATCTGATGGAAGCTCGAATCTGAAAAACAGCATGACAACAGAACTCAGAAATCATTAAAAATTTTGAGCTATAATGTTGAAAATCTACAAATGAACAAATGAGAATCTAGACATAAAACACACTCTTCTTCAACAAATGGCTGTTCGGTAGATTCATCTGCAGATGTATCACAGGCATCATCGCTTCCTCGGCCATAACTCTGCTCCTCTTCTAAAAAAACTAAATTTCATAAAAGATTTTTAATCTGTGATAATGACAATAACTGGATCAAAAACCAAAAATATTTAATCACCCAACCTTCCTTTTTCATCGCCTGCTCTCTCTTCCACTTCTCTTCAGCTTCCTGCGCTTTTACTAAAGCTTTACAATCAGAGCACATCCAACCATTTGGATCCTGGAATTCGTTAACTCTAACCAAGGATATTTTTATATTATTTGTTGTATATAGATCAAAACGAAGAAAAGGAAAATCGTTCATAACATATAACACACCTTAATTTTATAATATACCTTAATTTAGTTTATATTAATTTTATAACATACCTTAATTTTTGGCTTAGCACAATCAATGTGATAACATCGATCACAACGCGCACACATACACAGTTTTTCAGTTTCACCCTTCTTACGACACTTTCGACATCTTGCCTTAAAATTTTGAATATTCAATTGACAACTTTTTCACTATTCCCGAAAAGATGATTTCTCGGAAATTCGAAAAATTTTCAGGAGGTTCACAATATATAAGCAGCTAGTTTCTAAGCAAATATCTTAATATCACACCTGAAGCCGACTTCTTGTCCAGAGAATGGAAGATTCTAAAGTTGTGTAATACAGTGATAAAGCTGATATCGAGCAGCACTTCAATAAGGATTTTTGCCATTGATCAAAGGTAGTGGTAGGAATATTCGCACAATCTTTTTCTTTCGAAGAAGCCGTAGCAAAAGGAAGCCGTAAAAACTTCAGATTAATTCCCTGAACAATTTGTAAAAATGCCACAGCCAAATGTTCCAGTTCACTTAGCGACTTTACTTCATCAGCAGTGAACACTGTTTCGCCAAAAACTTCCACGTCACCTAGAACAAAAAATATAAATTGAAGTTCTAAAGAAATAAGTTGAAAATCATAAATTGAAATAGCAATGATGAGTATAGAAGCTTTAAGTTTTAAACGAATTAGACATACGATTAAATCTCAGTAATACTGCAGCAATCACTTGAAAGATATTGCTGTCTGTAATGAAAAGAATTTTTTATCCTAAGAAAGATAAAAATTCGTTTCCACTTATTGCACGCGTAACTTGAAGCTGTTTGATAATATTTCATAATTCGCATTCATAGTTTACACAACAATGACGAACAAAAAATACTTCTAAGAGAAACATTTACTTCTAAGAGAAGCATAAATCAACTCATTTTAAGTGAAACATTACTTTCAACAAAAGAAGTAACATTGCGTTTCTGAAGTAGTGACTCACGCCATTCTTCCCTGCGATTAATATCACTGATAGCTAAATGACCGATGCATCCTTGCTCAACCTAAAAAAAGTATTCCTTTGCATTCCAATAAATCATAAATCTTTAAAATATACTAAAACCATAAATTTACGCAAAATTATTGGCAAACTGTCACCTTTTCTTCCAAATCTAGAAGCAAATCAATAAATTCACGATTCCAGTCAAATATGACAGAAGTATCTGCCAAGTCAACATTCGTTAATGAAAGATCAGCATAAATTTCACCGGAAATGATCTGAAATTAAGGCAGTAAGTTTTAAGCATCAACAACATCCCGTATCAAACTTACTAAAATTACAACCGATACAATCTGATGTTTGTCATTTGTTCTGATGGGCAATAAACAATTCCTTTACAAAGTCAATTGCAATATCCCAAAAAATCTTACCTTGTCTGAGCACCGACTAAGTATACTTTTCAGTAAAGGACCAAAGAATTTTAAGTTTTCTAAAAGTTCAGACTCCCGAAAGCCACGATTGTTACACGCCGATTCAATCTGGAATTTCAAAACGTGTAAAAATCTGGAATCTGAAAGTGTATCTTTGATGTAAAAATTAACCGCAAATACTCAGATGCAGAAAATATTAAAAAACGAAATAGGAAGAAAACTTACTTCATTAAGAATATCCATGCTTTTGACTAACTGCCATCGAGGACGGCGGAACTTGCCATGAACTGGACAATCTTCAGTGGCTGTACAGCTCAACAGGCCTTTCCGCAACTCGTCATCACTCTCATATGACTGACGATATTTCTCATCAACCTAAAGCCGTCAAACATCAAACATTGCTGTAAATTCCAAAGTTCATGTATGTCAAAAATTCGAACTTTATCCATAAATTCTATGAAACATCAGAAATTAAAAAAAGTTGGAAAGCTTACCTTATCCAATGGTGTTGGCCCAAGACAAGGACCTCGTTCGTCCGTCGAATTAGTATTTTCCACCAAAAGCAAAGACAGTGAACTGAAGTACCAATATGTACGAAACCCACGATCACGGCCAAGGCAATGCCAACCAACGCGGCCTAAAAAAGACATCATTAAAAAGAGAAAAAAGTTTTCCTTGAAGTAAGATGAATATCGCCATTCTTTGCAGTTGCACATAGCGCTATTAGAGAGCTATTAAACCATGAACTTTGCAATGGCATGTGCTCTCTTTAAGCAACTACTGCTGCGCTGCTACTGATCAATGTTTGCCTTTTTAAATTTTAGCTTAAACTGTCGTTGTTTGTGACAGAATGGTGACATCTGAAAATAATCCAGCTACATGCTTACTTTGTATTTTGTAAATCAGTTTCAATAAATCATTTTCTGCGGCAGTTATATGTTCCACTTGCAATGAACGAACTTTCTTTATTTCGTCGGCTTCCATTTGAGCATACGAAACTCCTTTCATGAGTATCTAGAAAGCGAAATCTGCGATAGAATTTATTTGTAAATACTTTTAGTACAAAATATATCGGAGGAAATAGGGAATGGAAGAAAAAAAAGTTGCCGGAATGCTGCAAAGAAATATTATGAAATTTCTGGAATTTTCAAAACAGAAATCCCAAAGCAACATGATTCATACCTAAAGTATTTAAAACAACACTAAAGCTCTAGAAAAATACCTGTTCGACTTCCCTCAATCTCTCCTCCCTTCTTCCAACAAAAGTCCCGCCTTTCACAAAATTAATTAACGTTATTGTTTCTTTAGACGGTTCCTCTTTTTTAACAAAATCTGCTCTAGCTGCTTCACCAAGTTCCTCTAATTGCTCCGTTTCATATTCTCGAACTAAGGAAGCTTCTCTTGCTTCCTTTTCCTGAAGAATCCTTGAACTTGTTAAGACACCTTTCATTAATCCATTATTAAAAAATATTTATTGTCAGTGCAACATCATTATTTTCTGAAGCTTTTTAAGCAAAAGCGATATCATTAGCATAAAAATTTTGTAACAAAACCTGCGCTGCATCAAAATTTCGAAGATTTTTCAGCTCTTTGCGTACATCAAGCAGCGAAATAATACGTTCATCAGATGTTGAACGAAATTTATGATAACTAAGTAACTGCTGTATCACTACTTTGAACAATGCCATGCGTTCATAGGGCTGGAGATCAAATACCGACTTCTGCAATTTCCTTTGATGCTCATAAAAAAGTAGCATAAACAACAAAAAAATTTTTTTTTCCAAATATTTGTTCGCCGTTTCGACCAATCAGCAACGACATAAAAATTTACTTGTGTATTAGGGTCTAAAACAATGCCAGAATCTCATTCCTCTAAAAAAATTGATTCGACTTTTCTAAGTTTCAAATAAAAAAATACAAAGATGAAGATGAATCAATAACAAGAAGATGAATCAATAACAACCTTTTCCAGAATATTCATAGTCTGAGGATTTTCTTTGGTAAATAAAAACCCTTCATCTTCATAACAACGAACAGCTCCTCTTGAAAATAATCGAAACCGATGTGTAGGAGCTCCAGTATAATATCCTGATGTCATCAACGATAATCGCACTACCTCCGTTAAAGTCATCCAATCGATCGGCAAATGTCGTGCGCTTAACCCTAAAGACTTTTTATTATGAAATGAAAATTTTCAAATGTTCAGAAAGTAATTTCTGGACGATAGTAATTACTACTTGCCATGTGTAAGTCGAATATTCTCATGAAGAATTGTCGCTTGACGAATTTCCGGACCATATATCTTGTGATCGATGTCATTTGCATCTAATGGTATTTCTTCTTTATTGCTCAAGTTAGCTAAAAATAACAAAACTGAAATGTTTCTGAAATAATTGATCTTATTTTTGACCATTGCCATTAACTCCCAACAGCTTCACCACTCATAAATTACAGTAATGAATGATAAATTTTTGTATGCCTTGGCAAAACTGTGTTGGAACTATAAAATCGACTGACACTGCTTCCGAGAGCATGGTATTACAAAAGAGTAATAACTCGAATTTATCTCTCTACAGCATCAAAAAAAGCTAAGAAGAAGAATTGTTTCGAATTTGAGACGGAAATCAAATCAATATATTAATTAAGAAGATGAAACTATATTTGAAATATTGAAACTTGCTAAACTTATTACTTAGCAGCTTATTACTTTAGATAAAAAAACTTATTACTTTAGATAAAAAAAATTAAGAACTGAAAATAATCGATAAAGCTAAGAATTTTGTATTGAAATGTTATGGAATCAAGGTATTCAAAGTTAATAAGAGAGGATTTACCTTCATCACCATCTTCTTCGTCAGCTCGTTCAGTTTTGGCTTTCAACAAAATATGCATCAACTGAACAAATAAACTGTCTTGTTCTGGAGTTTGACTTCTTACGGCTGATATAATTTCACCAAACTTGACCTGATTAGTGCCACGGATCTGAAAAAAAATTGGTTTGAAAAACCTGACGAGTGCTGTAAACTATTAGAATAGAGTAAGAGATCATAAAACATAGGAACATACTTCTTTAATAGGCAGCAACTCTGCAAAACTTTGGAAAAATTCAAAAATGTATAAATAGTCGCCGAAATCGTCGTCCGACATCCAGAGAGGAAGCAGAAGAGGTGACAATTCAGGTAAGGGCTAAAAAATTACTAGATAATTTCTTGACTTTAAAGCTGCAAAATTACAAGAAAAGTAATGAAATAATTGATTCATATCACAGCAATGAGAACTATAACTTAGCTGTGCAATTCTTTAAAATGAACGATTTTGATTACTCAATTACACAACATCAAATCCACAAGCTTTTGATTTTATTAAAGAGATCGATTTTTCCTTTTGAAACTTTCCAACATGAAGAATAATAAATTTTACTTGAAGGTCGTCACAAAGAATATCATCTCTTGGTTTTCTCCACTCCAATAATATTTCTTTCGCCCGTTGTTTATTCAGGCGTTTTTCTTCACGTTCCTAAAATAAGCAATATTTGGATGATTATGCAGTAACGGATATAAATTTTCTCTGCAAATTTACGTTGTGGTAAATTAGTCCTGACTGAAATTAGGGTATTCATTGGTGTCAGGCCAAAACTAGGATGACTGGTTCCTTGAAGTTGCAGTAAATAGAACGCAAAGGGGTGCATATTAAAAGTCAATTTACAAGCTCTCGTTTGTAAGGTTTTTGCATTAAATGTTTTGTCCGCTCTTGAAATCATCATTAAACAAAAATTTCAAATAGTATGTCAACTTTTTACATGGAAAAATAAATTTAACTTCAATCAAACCTTTTCTTTTGTTTGTCGGATTAATTGTTTTAATTCAACAATCTCAGTTTCAGATAACAGACGCTCATCTTGTTCCCAATGGGAAAGATCTTTGATATTTACTTTTCGTGCTTGTTCAAAAAGACTTTCCAATTCTTCCTGCTGATGAGCAATCTAAATATTCATTTTCTGTATGTCCACCAGTGTTAGAAACTACAAACTGCAATATGCAGCACTAAAAATTCTGAATTAAAATTAAAATAAATTATACCGCTTTCTTCTTCTTCTTGCCACTCTCTCCTTTCTTGTCGTTTTCCTTTTTATCCTTCTCTAGAGATGCCTTTCTAGACCGCGCATGTAGCTTATCTTTTTCAATAATATCGACAAATTCGACGTCCGATGTTGATTGAGCATCGGGATCATCACTAGGATGGCCATCTAAAATACAATAGGATCTAAAAAGAGTACATTACTCCAATGAAAAGTTCAGAAGTTTAGTTAAATAGTCAGTTATAATATTTTTTGAAAAAAAGTACTTAGATGATTGCGAGGTGGACGGGAAACTCCTTTATTTGGGCCACGGTGCATTAACGGTGTCCGCGGAAACTGCGCAATCGGTCCAGCAAACACCTCATTCCAAGACATATTTTCTAACTGAAAATTCTCCAGCAGTTCCTTCTGAAAAAATTAACTTTTCATACAACAAGTTAAATGCATAAATTCATACAAATGATAGAATTTGGTGCGCAATAATAAATACACAAATAGAACATTAACTAGATGTAACAAAAATTCTAAGTATTTCTCTCAGTAATAGTTTCTTTCTAAAGTTTAACCTAAAGTTCCTTATCATCCCAGCTATAAAAAGCTTCTTGTGATTCAAAGGATGAAATCAACGTGGTTAAGCGTGAAACACAGCTTTGTATCTTAGAAATATAAATTCGATGAAAGTTATTATACATCAAATATACTATGGAATATATTGATACATATAAAATACTTCCAAAATCAGTAACCAAAAAACCAACAACCAATTTAATTTCGAAAAGTTTACTTTTACTGTTAGACGCTCATGATCCGTCGTACAAGAATTTTTCAAGAATACACGTATCATATTCCGAGCCCATAAAGATTTACTTCGCCTGGAAAATATTAAATGATATGAAACATACTGTTTAGTAAAAGTAAACAAAAAATTTGAAGTTCTAAAAAAAATTTGAAGCTTTAGAAAAATCATTTAAAAAATTCAAAAAAATTACAGTAGATCTTGATGACTGACTCGTTCGCGCACTTTATTGCCAGCATCCCCTTTATGCTCGTCTAATATTAGGACGTCGTACATATAACGTTCTGCTGGTGGTATTAGTAGCTCTCCCCTTTTCACACTTAAAAAATTATATTCGAAAATAAATTTTAATGACCCAATAAGTTGTGTAAGATGCAGAACTGCGAATAATATTAGCTTGAAATGGAAACAAAAACAAAAAAGTATTTTTAAGCACTTCAATAAAGTCAAATTATAAATAAATTAACTAAAACAACTCACAAAATAGCAGGTTTCTTCACATCACTGTATTGATTTGTCACATCATTTTCCATATCAATGTAGGTCACTTTTCTTATTATAACATCTTTTCGACCACGTCCACTACTGTACGTAACCTCTTCGCCCAGCAAAAAGTGATCTTTAACAAAAAAATAAATATCGTTCACCAAATCCTCGATTCGTCCACGACATGATAATTTGTATACAAGATAAAGAATAGGTCTTGCAAAGGATGGCGGATAAGTTTTCAGCGTTTCCTAAAACACTTCCAATTAGCTTGACAGAAGTTTTTGGAAAATAATCACATTCTATTACAAATTAAAATCCAATTATAAATACAAATATCACTACCTCGCATAACATGTTTTACTTTGAGAAAATCACGCAGTACAATAATGAGATCTTCTCTATTACTGCTATTATCTCCATAATAAACTACTGCGTGATGCAATCCAGATATCTTGCTTACCTGCGCATTTTTTTCAGAATCAAGGGCTTCTTCAAACGTCAACCCCGTCTTACCGGTTACCGAACATGTCCAAACCATCGAACTGAGAGCAATTTGCCGCTGGAAGAAATCGCTGAAAACAAAAACCGTTATAAATAATATTTTATTTCTAAAAAAGCTTATCGAGAAAGAATTATAAAATCTCCAGCTTTAGCTCCACGTAAAAAATGACCAGAAACTTCGATAAACCAGCGTTACCGATTCAAAATTCAGTTAAAGCTAATGTAACGTAAAAAGAGATGTGAGTTGATAATGCGCTAACAAGCATGACATGTTCCTAACTAAAATCACGGAAAATAAACAGAAAAACGTACTCATATGATGTAAAAATTTCATTGGTGAGTGGAAGATGAAATACTTTATCATCAGGTTTCAGATCAGTTGGACATGGTGATGGCTTGAACTGTTTACGGCCAAGTGATGGCATTAGTCAAATTCTTGTAAAAGTCTAAAATAATTTAAATAGTTAACGAAATAAAAGCCACTGAAATAATCAGATCATTTAGCGTTGTTTTTCGATGGTGACATAAATAATAAGCATAAAACATAGCATTTAGTTACGCGATAACATGTCAAGAAATATAATTTCTAAGGAAAGTTTTGGAAAAAATAATCAATCAATGTCATAATCAATACGCATAAAGTAATTAAAAGCAAGGATTAAAAATTTAAACATAAGAAATTTCATGAAAAACTAAACTAAAAGAAAACGTGCGTTATATATTTTCTCTCTATTGCCAAAATAAAATGTTGAATCGATCACCTGCATCATCACATACTATCACTCATCAATAAAAAATAACAAAAATCCTTAATGTGATATAACATTGACTATGCAATGCTGTATGTATACAACTGTGTTCCGGGATATACGTAATGCACGATGAACTACTTTATCCTGATCTGCTCAAATTCCAAACATTTCACGTTTTTCTCTAAAAAAAAAAAACAAAAACGAGAATATTATAATGCTCGTACTCTATTTTTCGAACATGAACATATTGCTAAAATAACCAAATCAAAATCTAAAATAAACAAATCCGGATACTGCAATTTTTCAAATTTATCTTTTTTCACAACTTATAATTGTCTTATCGTTCAATTCTATCACTTTTTAACTTTGAAAGGTTTAACTCCATTACCTATTAGATAAAAATTCTGCATAGTAGCGATCTTATCTCTACTAATCAATAATTCGTATCTTGATAAATGCATGAAACCCATTACTAAATATGACGTGTACTACAAGATATAATGATATACTAACTTAGCATTAAAATCATCTAAATTACACGCTCTTACAGGCAAAATTATACTTTTACGTGAAATGCGGTTCTTAACAAAGAGAATTCATTCTTGCACATACACAACTTTCTTGTATCCATTATGATTAATACAGGAAATGCTCTTTTTACTCATTTTGCGATATCCATTTGAAGTATGTGCGTACAATTACGTCAAAAGACGTAAATGCGGATCATATGCCGTCCACTTCGCTATAGAGGAAGCTAGTTTTTAAATTTCGTTACCTTAAAATAATTCTTTAACTGTCAATTTATTACGACAGCAACATATGTGGAGAGAATATAGCGTGAATTATCGATCGTGATGACATTGTCAACACATATAGATAGAAAGTGCTGCTGGGTTATGCCCGTGCATCGGGTTGATGCATTTTGTACAAACCGAGTGATTCCTCCCAAACACTGGAAATCAGGAATAAAAAATGATCTCGGGAAATAAAATCGATCGAAAACTCACTGAATTGGAACAAAATAGATTAACTAAAGTGAAACTAATCGCAAACTTAAATAGTTTGTCTTTTTCATCAGGAAAAATCAAAAACAATACGTGTTAAAAAAATAAATCTGCAATCTGAGAAATAAAAGTGATTTCTGATAATTTAGCAAAACTTTGTCTGGATTTTTTGTCATATTTCCGGTTAAATTCTCTCTCATAACTTTTGACTTAAAAATTCAATAAGTTCTATTATAATTGCGTTAACATCTATCGACAAAATAGTCATTTAACATAAATGTTTAGAGAAGTTACGATATAAATGATTGCTTAAGGCAGATACGTGCAATTACATTGACGAATAGAAAATACCAAATATGTAAATATATTATGAAATAGGCGCAGACAAATCAATATGATATGAGGCTATGTAATAATTACTTATTTCACTAGAGGAAAAACAAGATTAATTTCTTATTTTACTAAGGAAAAATAAATAAATTAAATTACTTCAAAAATATTTCCTAAAAAGAACAGATGAAGGAGTATTTTTTCTTCCTCCTTCATCAAACTAATACATTTCTTCACCTTTCACGTCTCCTCCACGTGACCTATTTCAGTTAATTTCACATCTTATAGAATGCAAACGATATGCTGCATAAATATGATTAAAAATGAAAACAATCAAACCAAAGGTAATTTGGAAACTTTAAAAATAATTTGAAAAATGAATCAATTATATTTCGCAACATCTTAACTCCCCGCTTCACCGATATTACGCGCTATTTTCTCCACCACTTCTTTCTTGCACATTTTCTTCACTTTCTCATCAATTAACGATGACAGGAAAGTGTCAATTGGTGCCATATGCCTAAAAGCTTCCATTCAACACGTTTTCACGTTTTCAATTGCACCGTTGCGCAGATACGTGAGTGATTGCGTCATTTTCATAATTTTTGTGTGATTTTTTGCATTACATATTATTTTTCCAAGTAATTGTACAGCATAATTTTGATGCTTTTCTTAGCATTTGTTTGTTTTCAACAGCATAATTTTTTGATGCTTTTCTTAGCATTTGTTTGTATGTTTTTTTTTCTCGTAATTTTGTAAATGTGTTCTCTCTATAATAAAGTAAGGTGGACAGGATAAGCTTTTTTGTACTCTTTCTTGTTACGTTTAGGATTCAAAGAAATTAGACGTACATATGAATAATTACATTTCATACAGATATCATTTAGTACTAATTACACGAAAACATATTTTTGTCCATTGACATATAATTTTCTTATGCGTATTTCACGTGAAGTAGTGATGCCTGTGAGTATGAATGTGATTGGTGTGGATGCTTGTAGTGCTAAATCGATACATCCATGTGCCTGCAGTATAGTACGTCGTGATTTTGTGATACAAACTTAAGTAAGGTTTAAGTCACATAATATAATATTGGTTCTTTAAAAAATAACAATTGCATGGAACTTTTTTTTTTACCAAGTGATATATTTAAAAGAAAAAAAACAGTAATTTTAAATTATAAGAGATTAGAATAAATAGGAATGATGTGTTAGATTGAGCAAATATATCTGTATTAAAATTTGGCTTTCATTTATGTAAGCATTGTTGAAGTGATGTTTGATTTTTATTTCGAGAAGCATAAATGAATGAATGAATAAATGGTTACCTTAAAAGGAATATCACACGGACCGCTCTTACTTACTATTTCTTGTTCAATTTGAATCGGTTGTTTAACCTCGATATTGTGATGATTTTCTTCAGCTTAAATCAAGTTAATATTTGATAGTTTCGGTGTTGAAAATTTTGTTCTTCAACAATTTTTATTTTTCAGAAACTCGGAAAATTTTACAAAATTTGAATAACATTAAGGTGGCAACACATTGTTCGGAAAGATAGATAACATTAAATAGAGATGTCAAAAACTCGATTCACTTCAAGTTTGACAAACGAGAGAAAGAACGATGGAGAGGATTGTAAAACAGTATTCGATAGTATCACCATTTGACCATGCTGACAAGTCATAATTTCGTTCTAAAATTTCGTTTCTTGGCGTTGTTGAGGAAATTGATTGGTTTGTCGGCAGCCTTAAGTTTTATATTTAAATTCCAAAAGTCTAGTGCATATCAGTAATGAAGTCTATAACGATTTCTCAATTGTGCAGTGCAACGCGTTAGCTGATGAAGCGATGACAATTTCTAATTGAATGTGATCAATACACAGGTATCTTGACTGATTTACGAAACCAGCCATTAAAGATTATTTTGTATTTGCACGGCCGGTCATGCTATCTTTGTTTTGTTGATTTAATGTATGGTGTGAACTTTACAAGAAAAGGATTCATGAAATTTACTGTGTTTTTGATTTTTTACTTGATGATATCGATGGTTGGGTAGTCATTTCAGTATTGACATCTAAAAGACACGTTTATATGACTTGTTTATTGTAATCTCTGCTGATTTATTCTTTTGAAAATTCGTAAATTACTTTTTTGAAAACTATTTTCAATGTAGGTTTCACATAGATAAACTAAAATTTGATCTAATATACATTAGCATTTTTTTGAAAAAAATTTAAACCTGGTAGCGCGGCATGATTCGGTTGTTTTCGAAATGAACCAAGCATTCCCTCAATAATTCCCAAGTTATGGTTTATCTGTTATTAAATCACATTATTCTCTACTATAAATTTTCGAATATCTTACATAAGTAAACTGAAATTTGAATTTTCAATTAGTAATCTTCCTCGCAAAAGCGATCTAAGAATGAAACAAGCCTATTGAGTTATCAATTCATGATTCAGAACTAACAAGAAGGTTGGATGCTTTTACAATATCCATGGTACGTACGGATCTAGCGACAGCTGGATATTTTTTATTTCGATCATTGTATTCTGTTGTTGAGATTTCAGATGTCTCCGTGATAGCGGTCCTCAGATTATCATGTTCATACTGTGAAATAGTGAATGGACTTGACCAGCCCTGTAAACTTCTTACTAATTAAAGAAAATTCGTAAAACTATATCGAAATTATCCATATCCATGTAATTTTATGTATTTTAATAATTCAGTCTTGACTTTGGTAATACGTATAAGTATAAGAAGGATTGGTCGTAAATAGAGGGAAGAAAGAAAGAAAGTTAGATTTTAAACATGACAATAAGAAGACTTTTGTTATAAATTAAAGGAATAAAATATATGCATTTAATGGATCTGTTGCGGGATCATCTGTTAGAGATCCGATATCAGAACTCATTGCCAGGATAACTGTTAGAAGTGAACGACCGCTCAATATTTCAATTACAAAAATTACTGAATTTCTAAATTGCCTATTTTTTCATATAATTCAATAGTGTAAGGCAAGAAAAAATTTTCATCAATTTCGTATGCATTGATGTGATGTGAAATTTGTAAAAGCATGGAAAAAGTTTGAAGTTAAAACTGTGCTAAAAGCTAACTTATATTTTTTGCATTAATTGGAAACGGAGTATGAATCTGAATTTATTGAAATGGCTAGATTATTGGATTTAAATATGAATTAGAATATATTGAAATAACTAAATTATGTATATGTTAGAATATGAATAAGAATCTGACAAGACAACTCAAATAAGATATTCATTAGTTGTATATTGGTTAAAATGTAACAGTATGGGATCAGAAGACGTTAGAGGTGTCATTGGGTGGCTAATTTTTTCAAGCTCAATATGAAATATTTTGAAATGTGACTAATTCATTTTATTGGAATTTATTAATTAGCCTCATAATACTATAATTTGTGGTCGGTCAAGGTGAAGATGCCTTTTGTAGGATTGTTCTTGCTAACTCTTTGTTATATTATACATAATTGTTTATTTTTACTATTTCATTTAGTTTCTATTCTCTATGCTATACCTAGTTGTTTCTTAAATATATTTGCCATTGTTTGACTTCCATCTAATATTGTAGAAAGTGGTGTCGTAAGTACGTTGTTCTTTTTTTCCCAGTTTGAACATTCTACTGGAAAAAAAATAGTGAATTAAAGTTAATCAAATTTTTGGAAAAAAATGTTGAATTTTACGACAAAGTTAGAAAAATGCTAATTATATAGTAAATTATTTGTACTTATCCATTAGGTAAAATGCTTAACAGTAAATTGGAATAGTAATAATACTGTCACATACCTTTCGGATATCCAGTGATTGGTATGCAGGATTAGCCGAATTTTTTAATAGAACACTTTGGTTAATTTATAATAGATCTTTTGTTCAGGAAATGTATAATGGATGACGTCGATCATAGTAATGAAGATGGGGATGGTAAACGATCTGTGGTCATTGAAGAGGATTTAGCTGCGGTACCTAACAAACGATTAAAGGAAGAGAAGGAAAAGTCTCCGTATGCTGAGGTTTCGAAACATGAAGTAAATTATTTTCAGCATTTTAGGGAATTTATGTATGAGAACTGAAGCATTATTTTTCGAGCAGATTTAGGTGTGATGTTAGAGTGCCTAAATTTGCTTCACACACCATGCAATGGTGTATGCACATTGATGTTAGAGAAATTGTTTTGTATTTACAGAAAGGGGCAAAAACATTTCTTATACCAAGAGGATAAGAACTTTTTGCACAGCGATCAGTACAGTTTTATGTTTGTGACGACAGTTAAGGAGCTTTTTTTTAGCATGTACTATCTAGTAAATTGTGAAAAAAAGCAAGTTCGTATGGTCATGCCAAATAAATCGATTACTACTTTGATTACCATTTTAGTGTTTGTGATATCTTTAATACTATTTATTAGAAATCATTATGCGGAGCAGAAATTTCCAAAGCTCGACAACGTTGGAATTTACTTTCTTATCACCTACGATGCATCAGAAAACAAGCTAGTGATGCTACAGCTGATATGGAAGCGATGTTTGTTGTTTTTGAAGTTTTTGTCATCCCAAAACTTTCCAACGAGGGTCGTTGGTATCACTTAAAATCTCCTGTTAGAAATATCGAGTTCGATGTCCACATATATTCAGCTGTTACCGCGACACCCAATGTTCTGGTTGGTTTTAACAACAGTGGAAATATCAGAGTATGGCCATCCGAAGAATGTTTGGCATATTATTTGCTAAAGCATGAAAAGCTGGTTCGAAGCAAAACTGTCTTGGAACTTGGATCGGGAATGGTTGGCTTAAGTGGTCTTACGTCGGTTGCACTTGGTTCAGCAGAAGTAGTTTTAACAGATGGTAATGAAAAGTCCGTGCAAAACATCCGACGAATCGTTGAAATAAATAAGTTAAGCAATCACGTAACCTGCTCTGTGCTACCTTGGAACATTACTATACCAAACAAGAAATTTGATGTTGTTTTATGCGCTGATTGTTTATTTTTCACGGAGGAGCATCGTACTTTATTGAATTGCATCTATAGGCATTTAAAGCCTAACGGAATTGCATACATTATGGCGCCAGATAGAGGTGGTACTGTTCGAACATTCCTGGATCTTGTATACGAGGAACGAAAACGATGGCAAAGCGTGAGTATCGATTTCCATATCGAAAATGAAGCGGAGATTTATTTTAAATTAAAGATGCGAAACTGTAATATATACTCAGAAATTCCAATGCTTCTAATTTTAAAAAAAAGTGATTGAAAAAGATGTATGAAAATCAATAATTATTTATTCATAATTGATATCATCTGATTAAGCTGACTGCTTATATAGATGTCACATGAATGGCTTAAATCTTGATATATTTGTACAGATTTCTTCTTGTCTTAATAATTCCATTACTGATTGTTTCATCGACATCAGTGAATAATTGCTTCACTTGGTTTGATTCATTATGCGATTTTTCTCCTCCTGATATATAATTCAGAAGTAATAAATATTCTAGATTTTGGCGTCGTATACTTAAGAGCGAATCTTTTCAGCCTTTACAAGTGTGCATCATAGTACCCCTTACATTATTGCTGTAGAACTACAATCGTTATATTTTTATTAAATTGAAAATTTACATTTGGTAAACAGCTACTCATCTCTCTTTATCAGTCTGATAACATCTATTTGGCATCAACAGTTCTATTTTGCAAATGTTATCAGGCTTGATTTTGCTTTTTGAATTTTTCTTTTTGCGATTTGATGGTTATTTCTCTCTGCTGAATTACAATAAATGTATAATATTAAGTTACGAGCATTTTCTGTTATGTATAGTAACTGCAAACGTTTTCTTCATCTTCCGTGCAAATAAAATTTATATTTTATAATTCGAATTTATTGCTTAGTTTCGGCCTTCCTAGTACAGTTATATTTTCATGATCACATTTTAGACATGCAACCTATTCAGTGTAATGAGTTAATGGATGGATCAGTATATGAATCTTTTCTAGAATATCGTGGATAACTAAATCACATTAGGAGAGATGATTTTGAAATGTTCGTAATTTTTATGCTTTTTTTCAGTACCAAGAAATCGTCGATGCTATCCATTACTCGTGTATGCTTATACAGGACGAAGTTGTTGAGGAGTTGGAGAAAAAAGGTCAAAAAATGGAATTTGATAAAGAAGTGGTCGCGCAGGTGGCTTTCGCTATATGTGATACCTTATGTGTTACTTGGCCCAGTGAGCTCTTGCAGTTTGCAAAGTAAGATTTCACAGATTTTGTGCAGTGTTTATGTGACAAAGTCTTTGAAGTTTAATCGATTGGTGAAAGTAGTAATTGTTACAGGCATGCAAGGCGTTCAACTGTCAACATTTCGGATTTGAGGCTTCTTTTCCGAAGAAATGAAAACGTGGTCAGTTTCTGTTATTGAAATCGGATATTTTTCGATTTTTTTTTCGTCGTTTCATATCTTTTATATGACTTTCCGAATTGGTGAATATACCCATTTTGTCCAATTTAGCTTTCGCTTATTGGAAATATTGCTGAAAGTTCATTGCTTCCGGCTAGAAAGAGGCAGTCTCGGAAGGGTGCAAACAAAAATAACAGTAAGGCAATAGATAGCACTGTGAAGATGGATAATGAGAATTCGAAGGATATGGATACGTTGCTGTCTGAGAATAAAGATACTCTAAAGCTGACGGATTTTTGGAACCAGTAAATAACTGATTTTTTCTTGAAATTTATAAATTTTGAAGAAATTCACTTAATTTCATTCATATTATATCGCTTGTTACAAGCGAAGTATGATTACATAAAGTTTCGCGAATTTTATTCAGTGTCTAATATTGATGAAGCCTTAGAAGGTATGAGTAGGGGGATTGAACCGTTGGATCTGATTTGAGTATTTGAGTTCTTTACTTTCCAAAGTCCGGAAAAGTTTTCTCCTACTCCCTTAGTTACGGTTAATTAAAGTTGGACATTTTGGTTGAGGAAATATCGTTGGAAAATAAAATGCAGACATGCTAACTTCAAAAGTTTTTTTTATAACTTAAGTTACGAAATTTTCAGCCCTTCAACAAGTCGAGAACGATCATTGCTATTATTTGGAACATCTTCTAAATATATTTCAGCAACAACTGTTAACAAAAAACTTCCCCCCAATTCGATACCTTTGCAAAAGAAAGGGATTGCTGTAAAAAAAAAACAGACTCCATCCTGTCGTAAGCAAAAAACAGATATTGTTATCAGGTCGAAGGAAACAGATAACAGAAGTGAAAGACAAAATCAAATAACAAAGCCAGCTTTTCATTTGAATGGTTCTGAATCCAAAGATAAGCAAGAGCTAGAATCCCTGGATGTTAACATTCCATGTTATTCAGGCAAGGAAGATTTGCAGAGGGAAAAATCACAGAGCGTTAGCGGTTCTTTGAGTATCACTAATCGAAAGATAAAAGAGTTGGATTTATCGAAAGAAATAAAAATGAATGAAAAAAATCCAACTGTTTCAATCCTAGAATTACATAGTGAAATACTTAATGAAAGTTCGACTACAGTTGTTGCCAGTCGTGAAACATCTCATACGAGAGCAAATAAAACTGGTAGGAATAAGACTGAATTAAGAACCGGAAATTTCCCGAGTGGAAAGTCTAACACTCCTCTATTGAACTCGATGAGTGGGAAACGGTTCATGGATACATCTTTAAGGAGTAAATCCAGCGCTGCAGATGACTGTAAGTGTTTTTTCATCTGAGGAGTTGTGTGAAAGTGATCTTCGCTATTTAATAAATTTATGCTTGCACTTTCAAATAGTTTTATCCAGAATTCAAGGATGAATATTCGAAATGCATAGTTCTTGGGCACTGTATCTCTCAATTTTGATAATTAAAAGGGAAAAGATAGTAAGGAAGAATTCTGTTTTCCTTAAAAATTTCGTGTTAAACGCATCTAGTTCGTTACTATTATTGTCCGATATCTAGATTACATAACCTTGTATCACTTACTTTGATTGAATTTCTGAGCATAACAAAGTGTCTTAAAACTACTGTTTTAATTTGTGGCAAGGTTGAAAAGCTTCCGTTTTTCAGGCTTTTCATCTTTCAAATTTGAATCAGATGACGAAGATTTGGATCCGAGTCTTTTACTGACAGAAAATAATGGTAAATTAATATCCAACATAATTTTTTCTTTTTTTATGAATTTTTATTAGATCGAGTTGGAATAACTAACTTTCAAAATTGGTAAACGCGAAGCACGAAACTTTTTTTAAAGTTATTTTTCTCTTCATACTTTTTTTCAGATACAAATAACAAGAACGCAATATCACCATCAATCAGTAATAATAAGTAAGTCTTAAGTTTTTAATTTTTACGAACCAAGCCATTTATTTTTCATGCTTTGTCTCATAATTTTTTTCTCACAAAACGGTCAGTCGCCGTATTTTTAGGCATTTTACCGATAAATATGTTACGATAAATGAAGATCAGAACACCAGCGGCGAAGAAAGTGATATAGGTCTGGATGCAACTGTTTTTGATTTTTAATTGATTTCTAATTATGAAATTCGGCGATTACTATGCTGCGTATATCGTACTTAGTGCAAGAATTTCGAGTAGCTGTGGAAAATATTTGCTACAAATTTAAAATTAAAACACTTATATATTTGATCTGTGTACTTCGGAAATACACGATGCAAAAGTGGGTTATCCTTGAATTTTTTTATCACTAAGAAAGCAATTTTGAAATCTGCCGGAATTTTATATTTTGTGTCGTGAAAGTTGTGTTGAATTGAATCGGGCACCAAAATTTATTGTTGGGAAAGTTGTGTGGAGGTGAATACGAGAGGTCGGGTTGAGTCGAATATTGTGAAGTTTAAGATGCGTTAGGACGAGAAACCGGCTTGTAAACCTCAAACTTGGGTAATTAAACGTTTATTTAAAAATATGAAAACGAACGAAAAAATGAATGAATAAAAGGGAAAATAATTGAATGAATGCGAGTGTGACTGGATTGAACCTAACTGAACCGAACT